CTCTCTCTCTCTCTCTCTCTCTCTCTCTCTCTCTCTCTCTCTCTCTCACTCTCTCTCACTCTCTCTCTCTCTCTCTCTCTCTAGATGAAGCCTGTGGAAGAGCTCCTGGAGATATTTGCCAGCACCACAGAAGCCCAGGAGAGGGCAGCTCTGACCAGCGATGACCCTGCTGTGGCCAGGGAGCAACTGGAGTCAGTCCTGCTGGGGATTGCAAAGGCAGCAGGGCTGCCGGAAATCATAGGTGCGGAAGGCAAGGCAGTTTCTGCTTGTGGGAGTGCACCTGTGGCAGGATATCAGTGCTCTCTCCATCCGGGAAGAGCCCGTTTCCCTCTTAACGCCCTTATTTATCTCCTCAGGGCAAGCCCAGCCAAGTAAGCTGCACCTGATCCCCATTCCCGTTGCCCGTTGCTACACGTACCGGTGGGATAAAGACAATTTCGGTAAGCTTAAAGCACAAAAGGACTCAATTCTGGGAGGTGCCTCTCGGTGCCTTTATGGATGTCCATCCACAGTTGAGCACCTTTTTTGTGTGCTCAGGGGAGACAGGGAGATCTCTTTTTTTTTTAATAGATTTTATTAAGATTTTTAAACTAACAGTAAAGACATCAATCATCAAATACATCAGATGTACTGGGTCAGCCCCCTACTCATATTTTTTTATCCATTTCTATCCATTTCTGCACAGTCCAAAATCTTTTTTAGAATCAGTTCATCGGTGGGTAATTCCTCACTTTTCCAGTGTTGCGCGAATGCAATTCTCGCTGCGGTGATGACATGTAACATCAAATACATTTCTTGTTTGCTAATGTCTTCCGGTATAATGCCTAATAAAAAAAACTTCAGGTTTAAAAGCTAAGGATTTTTGCAACATTTCCTCGAGCCATTTATGTATTTTAATCCAATACTTTTTCACATTGTCGCAAGTCCTCCACATAGGGTAAAAAGTACCCAATTTATGTTTACATTTCCAACATCCATTTGACATATTTGGAAACATCTTAGCTAATCGATTTGGTGACAGATACCATCTATAAAACATTTTATATAAGTTTTCTTTATACGAAATTGCTAATGTTGCCTTAATATTTCTCTCCCATAGCTTTTGCCACTTTTCTAGTTCAATATTATATCCAAAATTTTGTGCCCTTGTTATCATAGTTTCCTTAACCTGTTCATCTTCCATTTTCCTGTCAAGTAAGAAATCATATAATCAAGACAGGGAGATCTCTTAAGTTTTGGTTCAAATGCAGCAAGACCGTAGACCCTACTTCTTCAAACCCAAGGCTGGTCTGGTGATACTGTAGGCCTGGTGTGGAGCCATCTCCAGTATGACTGTGCCTTTAAAGCAGCAGACCTGGCCACGATGGGATTCGTAGTCTGACGTATCTGAAGGGCGCTGGGGTGGGGAAGGACCTTTTAAGTGGGCCAACTTTCCTCTTGCATCCCTAATCTTGCATCTCTCTCCTTCTCACAGACATCCTGAGTGAGGTAATAGAGAAAGAAGGGGACTACCCAAAGCCAGTGGTTTTGGAAGATGAGGAGGAGGAAGAGGAGGAGGAGGAGGAGGAGGTCAACAGTTGCTTTTCAGAAAAAGGCGCTCTGCTTTCCACCCTCGCCTCCGTGTCCAGAGACCACATGTATTCAGCACTGTGGGAAGGCGGCACCCGTGACTCACAGTCAGTCCTCTCTGCTCTTTCCAAAGACTCTGAGCTCTCGCTGGCCTCTAAGAAGTCCTTGAAGTCTTTTGTTTCTAGCCTGAATGACTGTGTGGACAGCGGCTATGTGGAGGACAGTGATGATGGCTCTCTTGAACTGGGGGGCCACCTGGACCCAAAGGAAGAGAAGGTGTCCCCCCGACACCGGCACCGGCTGAGCAGCAGGATCTGCAAGCTATTCAAGAGCAAGAGCCAGCTCATTCTGGGCAGAGAGCTGCGGGACGCTTCGGAGGTGGCCTCACTGTCACTGCCTCTGCGCCGGGCCGAAAGCCTGTGCAACCCGGTAGCCAAGAACCGCATCCCCACACGCTCCCGCCGGGCCAAGTCTCTGCCACAGCATGTGCTGAGTGCCACACTTTTGCAGAACCCTGTGCCGCGGGGCACCTGCGTCCAGCGCAGGCCCCTCCTGAGCTGCGATGAGGATACCAAGATTCCAATGCTGCGCGTGGTTGTCTTTGGTTCCGACCGCATCCTGGGGAAGGTGGCCCGAGCGTACAGCAATCTGAAGTGAGTGGGAGGCAGCTGATGGCTCCGGGGCCCTTCTCTCTCTGCCCAGCTCCTGCTTCTGGCAGCTTGCAGGCGCCTGCCTCCTCCGACCCCTTGGGCTGCCTGTCCTTCCTCTGGACCAGGGAGCCTGCAGGGAGGTTCTCCCGGGCTTTGGCATGGCATTCTTCCCTGCTCTCATAGGCTGTTATCTGTTTATGCCAATGCACGTTGATAAAGGGGGAACTCTGAAATGGGCTCAGTGTGGAGCAGGGATACAGAGCATTACTGGGCTGGGGGACCAGCTTGCCCCACCAGACTCTCTGCGGGCCAGATGACTTCCGTGGGGGTGGCTCCTCCACTCTGGCCTGTCTGCATGTTGGGGGGCCTGGGCTCTGTGTCTGTCTCAGCGTGGAGAGGGGCTGGGAGTCACTGGGGGGTTTGCGTGGTGAAGTGGGATGCTGCCCCTGTTGGGAAGAGGGGCCTCTCCTAGTGCCAGCTGAGTCCTCCGTGTGGAGTCAGAGATGGCTGTGTCAGCCTGGACTTCTGCATAGCTGGCTTGCTGCTGTTTCTAACGGGTATCAAGTGAATTTGGGGACCAAGAACAATTAGGGGACCAGTCGAGTGAACTGAACCGAAGAGTAGCCAAGAGACTGACATAATCAGGCCTTGCCATTCTATTCTACCCTCTCTAGTGAAACCAAGAAATTCTCCACGGTGTGGGGAGGGTTCCTTCAAGGGATGGGGCTTACAGGCCATGTCCTGCCCCCAGAGGATCCCAAAGAAGAGAGGGCTGATGGCTGGAGGTTCTCCATTCCTGGTGCATGGAATGTCTGACTGCAGCAGCCTTCCCAACCTGGAGCCATCTAGATGTTTTGCAGGACAGCTTCTGAGATTGCAGTGGGAGTTGATATCCAAAATACCTGGAGCCCACCAGGCTGCAAAAGGCCGCACCGCAATATTGCATCTCTCCTTTCCACCTCTCGATGGCTGCTAGAAAGCCACGGCAGCGTGGGCTCCCCCAGCATCTCTTCATGCACCCCCTCTTCTTCTGTCACTGCAGAGCACAAGAAAGCAGCTGCCCCTGGCTGACACGGTACTTCAGACTGAAGTTTTACTATGTCCCCGTGAAGAGGAATGGTTCTACCTCATCTGCCCTGACCTACCTTCCTCCTCTTCCTCCTCCAGGAGAGTCTCATTCCCGCATCTCTGGATCAGTGGTAGGTGTGGCTGTGGAACACAACTTGTTCTCCTGTGTGGGGTCAGCTTTGCAGCTCTGGCTGTCATGAGTGCTGGTTTGCTCTCTGTGGAGAGGCCATGTGGAAGGAAGCTTCTTGAGTTCCAGTGCTGCGTGGGAGAACCTGGCTTGCTCATGGGCTGTTCATCTCCCTAGACTGGGGTGATGCTTGCTGTCCCAGAATGCAGCTGATGTAAATGAACATCTGAATGGATGCTGCCTCTATCTGCTCTGGCCTCTGGTGGCCGCAGAGCTAAAGGGAGACGAACAGGTGTGCGTGCGACAGGAGAAGCTACTGCTGACCAAGCCACGCCTGCTTCTTTGCGCCTGCCACTCTGGGATGACAGGAAGGGCGGGATAAGGCTGGTGGTGAGGCCACAGGTCTATGTGGGCACATCCTGGCACCTGCTCACTTCTCTGAGAGCCTTTCTACGGCACTACCTCTGGCAGGCCAACCCGGCATTTGGTCATCCTCACAACAGCCCTCTGAGTATCGCTGCTGTACAGCCAGGGAACTGAAATAGGGTGGCCCTCTGTGAGAGCCTGGGCTTCCTGGACGCTTCCATCGCATCTGAGTGAACTGCTGCGGTGCCCTGAGCTGCTGCGTGAGGCATGGACAGTGGCTTGTGTGTGTCAGCTCCGAGAGGGCATCCGCTGCACTGCAGTAGTTTCAGCTTGGCTCTCCCTGGCTGCTGGGCTGTCACCTGGGCACTTGCTTGCTAGGGAGAGGTCTAGGATGATCCGGCTGTCCCCGATAGCAGAATCTCTAGCTGTGTTTCTTTGATTTCAGGATCCCACTTTGGCAGGGAAGGAGAGCAGCACGAATGACATCTCAGTGTACATAGGCATGCTGGATCCGTGGTACGAGCGCAATGTTCTGGGGCTAATGAACTTTCCCACAAACATTCTGTGCCAGGTATGTCCTTCCTCTCCAGAGCAGCAGCACTCTCCCCTTGCAGCCGTGTCCCATATGCTTGCATGCATTCTGGTGCGCTTCCTTATCTGCTATTCCTTTGGGCTGGGAAGGAGTCAAGTGTGCATTGCTCCACTGCACATTGAGACCACTGAGGGAAGCTGTTTCCAGGGGATCCCATGCCTGACGCTAAGGCAAGCAGCAGGCAGAGAAGAGGGACTCGCACCCCTCGGGGACAGTGTAGGTCCTTTCCGTCAGTCTTCTATTGTACTTTTTAAGCATTGTGGGACAAGGAAAAATGGGTCAGCGGTACTTGGATCAGTAAGACGCTGATGTGCTCTTGTCTGCAGGTGCTCTGTCCAGGGCCACATTCCAGGGGAGGGCAGGTAAAAGCAAACAGGTGGAACTGAGGAGTCTGGGACCAACATTTATTTCCCCACCAGAATATTGTATCTCAGTGATCATACTCAGCTAGGCCCGGGGAGGGGCATTTCTACATTTTATAATGGGGGGACTGCACAAATGCGGGAGATCCATGATGTAATTGGTGGTTGGGGGGATGAGGGAGGGGCCAAGGGAGGGGAAAGAGGCCTCTGGAGACTCCAGGAGGGCCAGCTTTGGCCCCTCAGTCTGAGGTTCACTGGCTAGGACAAGGTTCTCCCTTACTCTAGCCAGTGAATGCAAAGCTACTGGACTTGCTGGCAATTGCTTTGGAATTGGCTCCCCATGGAAACAGTAACTGCATGCACTTGATTCAAGTCACACCTTGTGTTGCATCAATTTTGTTGACTAACTTCAAATGTACTAGCTATTTGGATGTACAGTTCTGCCATTTTCCTCGGACTGCAGTGTGTAGTCCCCTTAGGCCCCAGCTCACCAGTGGAGGGCTGGTGAGGGATGTGAGCATTTTCGTGTCCTTGGGAGCTGCCCTTCCAGAACCTAGAAGCAGGTGTTTCCTGGAGCAGGGTTTTCAGAGCAGGTGCTGCAGGCAGATAACATGCCAGGACTGCCTCTGGATCCCCCAGGGATCCTGTCTTGGGGATGTGTGTGAATGAGAAGGATGCTCACTTCTTGCTCTTTCCATAGCAATCTGCCAAGCCCGAGGGGGAGCTCTTGGAGGAATCGGCAGGGAAACTTTCCATCCTCGCTGATATGGTTCTTTACTACTGCCGCTTTGCTACTCTGCCGGTACTGCTCCAGGTCTACCAGGCTGAGGTGAGCATGGCCAGGACTCTTTCCAGCATCCTCGTGCAATTGGCCAAGCAGTGAAATGTTGACTCCCTGAATCTCTGCAAGAGAGAAGCACCCATGCTTTGTTTTCTGTTTGGCCAGGGTGGGTTACCCAAGGTGGTCCTCTGAGAGCTGGCCACTGCTGTTGCTTGATACTTACCATGTTTGGTGGATCTAGGGGGCTGGAAACATGGGGTCAGACAACACTGGTCCCATTTGCATCTTCACCTTCATGGCTACTCCAGATGTTATTTATTGGAAGTCTTCCTACCCTGAGTATTCAATGTAATTAACACAGGACCTAGTGGAAAACAATTGTCTTTTGTTAGACAGAAGACCCAGTTCAGACATCATTGCTGAATTATAGTTTCAGATTCATGTACTTCAGTTCTCTCTCTTGCTTTGGGCAAAACCATAACTTGTTTCCAAACCAAAATTAGGAACTTGGAAACATGGTTCTTTCTGATTCGGAATCTGTCTGTGGTCTTTGGAGCTCACAATTTGCCTGATTCAGATATAATGACGATGCATGCAAGCCTATGGCTGCTAGCCACTGTTTAGATGGAGGCCCAGCTGCGACCCTGGAAAAGTGCTCTGAGGTTTGGCACTGGGGATCTGAATTCAGAGTGCCCTCCCTCCACCTTGCAGCCAGCATGGCTCTTTCTGCACTGGCCACGGCGCTGACTTTGGAACCGTGGTGGCGTAGGGAGAGGAAGGCGTGAGTTTCTGCTGGGATCCTGACAGGGCCTCAGCCCCTCCTCCTCGTGAGCATTGCTAAAAGTCTTAGATGCCCAACCTGGCCATCGAGGTGCTTTAGAAGGCGAGGGAAGCACAAAGGCAATCCTTGTCTTCACCCTCCTCCCACTATCCATCGCATGCCTATACCCCTCTGAGTCTGGAAGGTTACAGGCAGTCCCACTGGATGGTGGCTGGGCTGTGGTTACTGTGAACTGGAAAGTGAGGATGGGGGCAGGGCCTGGACATCACACATGGACACAATAGCTGACGGGTGTAAATTGCACCATTGCGAGCACACTGCTAGCTGCCTGCTGCTCACTTCTCCCTGGGTCTCTGTGCAGGGATGGTGCTACCTGTACGCAAGATGCTGCTGGGTTCCTCCTTCCTGGCAGCTAATTTGACTACGTGACCAGGATATGAGTCTGGGTGGACTATTACAGTGGACCCAAGGAGGAGGCGGCGCTTTATAGAGTGTTGAGTATCTTGCCTCTCAAGTCAATGCAAAAATGACCTATTTCCTGAATTCCACAGCTCACCTTCATGGGGGGAGAGTCAAGGACAGAGATCTTTATCCACTCCCTAGAGCTGGGCCACTCAGCAGCCACACGGGCCATCAAAGCCTCAGGTAGGCACTTGAACTAGCACGCTAAAGCAGGTTCCATGTGTGCCCCTGTTGTCTCCTTTACTGCGCCTGGTGGGATGCTCAGTTTCAGTGGAAACAGTGGAGGGCAGGCGAAAACCCAAATCCTCACCCACTGGAAGGAAGCTGCACTGATGACTCAGAGAAGCAGCATGATCTGGTGGGCTCTTCAGTTAACAGGCCACAAGGATTTGGCACCTTTACATTTCATAGAGAAGACAGATGCAATATGTACGACGCTTTGCAAATGAGGTGGCAGGGATGGACATCAAGCAACTCGAAATATTGGCCTTCTTCCACATCTGAGCACATGCTGCTTCCCCTGCCACCATTTCCTCCCGCTGAGGAAAGAGAACAAGCTCACAGCGGCTGCAGAATCCAAAGGCTTTCCCACCCTGTCTCTCCCAGCCACTGAGCCACATGCAGCAAACTGGGGAAAATGGGCATGCAAGTCTGATCCTCGCCTTTCAGGCAGTGTTTCAGAGAGGGAGGTGCTGCCTCCGACTTTCTCAGACAGCCCTGAAAAAGTCACAGGATCAGTGTCTTAACATCCCTCCCCTCAAGGGAAACATCAGCAGTCCTGGGTGGCAGCTTGCCTAATGCATGGGGAGAGCACAGTACTGACAGAAGAGCCCGCCTTCCAGTGGCTGACTTGCACCTCTGTTTGTCCAGTTGTGTTTATGCCTCGCTGCTGAGGAATTACTGCAGATCCTCTCATGCCACATCCGCCTTCTCCATTGCACTTGTATATAATGTCCAGGGATTTCAAGACTATGCCACAGTTACAGACTCTGTCATCTCCTCCTCTTCTTTTGTGTGTGTGTGCAGGTCCCGGGAGCAAACGGCTGGGCATTGATGGAGACAGAGAAGCAATCCCACTAACACTACAGATTGCCTACAGCAAGGTAATTTCGAAGAGGCAGATTGTCTCCAGTACTGGAGGGGAAGAGCTGCTGGGGAGCTGGAGGAGAGCACACTGAAGGGGGGCAATGTGAGAATGGGGCGCTCGTGCTCTGGGGGACCCTCTTAGAGACCTCTCTTTAATCAGAGCTGGAGCTGCAAACAGCGGTTCCACTTGAGTTCCTTGAAATGGGAGGGATTCTTCCCCAGACTGGAGCATAATCCATCTCTGATCCCTGCAGAGAGCAGTCAGCGGAAGGAGCCGCTGGAACGATGTTGAGAAAGTCTGCACATCCATCATCCTGAGCAAAGCCTGTAAGAGGCAAGAAGAGCTGGGTGAGTCCTGACTCCTTGGAGTGGATTGGGAGGTGTTGCTGTGGGGGGGGGGGGTCAGGGGCAGCTCTGGCCACCTTCTCCTGGCCCAGGGATAGGAGGCAGACCATTTGGAGAGCCTCAGCTGAGGCAACGCAGCTGGCTTCCAAGGAGGGACGTGGGGCGTTCAGGGCTTTCTGTGCTTCCCGTTCACTTGTTTGTGTGTGCACGCAAATGTTGTGCATTCTTGCATGCACAGCTGCATATTCTACGGGTGGTTCAGCCTGGAGATGGAGAATAGGAAAGGGCAACCTTGGAACAGAAGTGCTGTAGGCTGGGCAAGGCACAGGACAGCCTTCCCCCAGCTTGGCTATCCTCCAGCTGTTTTGGACTCTGTCTCCCATTAGCCCCACTCAGCATGGCCAGTAGTAAGGGATGATAGAAACTGCATCCTAAAGACATCGAGAGGGCCAAAGGCTTCCTATCCCTGCTAGGAAGCAAATGCTTTTCCTCCTTTCCCTCGGGGTCATGTTGAGGCAGCTGGCTCTGGAGCACGCTGGCCTGCTGGAAGCAGTAGTGCTTTTGGCCACTAGGTGCCGCACTTCTCTGGCTTTTGAGAGAAGATCCTAATGCTGCGGGAAGACTGGCCGGCCTTGTGCAGGGGCCTGGCGTTGGCAACGGCCCATTTCTCTAAGGAAATCCTATTTTTAGCACGTTAAACAATTTGCTCACAATCTGAAATCCTGCAATTCTCTATTTAAAGGACAGCCTTCCCCAACCTGTTGCCCTCCAGTTGAGTTGGACTGCAATTTACCAGCTGATTCTTATAGAACAGCATAGCATTTTTGCAAGGTGTTTTGGGGTGTTAGGAATCATAGAAAGCAATAGCAATTATTTATTTACTATTTTATTAAGTGCTTTTATGCCACTCTTCATTTTACAATACCAGGCCAGTATGCACAGTGTATTTTAAAAATGAAAATACCATATACAATAAAACACGAACTGCAACAATACAAATTAAAGCATAAAACAGACAGTTCACATCAACCAACTTAATAGACCAGGTTCAAATGCCTGAGCAAAAAAGCAGATTTTGACTTGGTACCACAAATAAGAATGATGTATGTGCTGGTCGCACCTCTGTGCGAAGGGTGTTCCATACCTGGGGTGCCACCACAAAGAAGGCTGTCTCCTAAGTCGTCATATAATGTACCACTAAAGAAACTTCGGAACAGCAAAGAAGTCCTGTCTGTTTATTACCGTAGTCCCCACCCAGTTCCCTCTCTCCTCTCCCACCTTGTTTTTCCAATCTGTTTCTAGAACATGATGAAAGCTTGTGTTCTGCCTGTATCCCCCACCCCACGTTAATGACAGGTTTGAATTTCCATGATTCTGCACAAGTCACTGTAGGGAGCCATATTCCATTCTTAAAGGTTCAATAGCAGCCGTCCAGATTTAAAACGCTCTAGTGAATTGAAGTCTGGCAGGAATGAGTGCCTCCCAGTCTTACCCGAAATTCTGGAGCAGGAAAAAGGGTTTGGAGTTAAGGCATCTAACAGATAATAAATGAACTGGGAAGAATTTAGTACTGTGGCTGGCGCAGAGAAAGGAAGAATGGCAGAAATGGAAAAATTTGAAATCTTAGAAATAAAAAGAGTAGGACAGCACTTCAGAAACTGCAGGCATGGGGCATGATTACTACTCCTTTTGTAGACATCTTCTTGACCTTTCAATATGGCTTGTGTGTAGCAGATACACATTCAAATTTTAATATGGGAAGCAATGGTACATGTGTTATTCTAGTACAGGAGGGAGCAGATATTTTGAACTTTAAGACTCAGCAATCCTGGCCATTGGCCGTACTGGCAAGGAGCTGAAATCCAAAACAACTGGGGATCGATCTTCTTCCCACCCTGCCTTTGAGATACAACTTACTAGTAACGTTCTTCCCCCCTTTTGTTTCAGGTTCAAAGACAGAATGTTTGACCCTAACTGCAACAGAGGTAACCAAGAGGCAAAGCTCTAAGTCTAAGAAGAGTTTCAATCAGGTAAACAGGCTCATGGCTCCCCCATCTGTGGAGGCACTTGCCCTACTCCCCTACTATTGTGGGGATGGAGCAAGGATGCTTCAGTATTGATGAACCTCCCCACCCTTCTGCCACCAGTGAATGACATGACTCGGGCATGTTTCTCTTGCAGCAGATCAGTGTGTCCCAGATGAACGTGGACAAAGTGCAGATCATTGGGGTCAACTGTTCCTTTGCTGTGTGCCTGGACCAGGATGAGAGGAAGATTCTGCAGAGTGTCACCAGGTAGGAGAGAGAGGCCAGCATCTACCTGTAGTTGTAATCACCTTCTTTACTGGGGTGAGCGATGGGGGCGGAGGTGCAAAATGCAAGTCTCCTGAATTAAGGTTTATTCAATGAGGCCTGAATCTCTTTGTGTAATTCCAGGGCCCTTAGATTAAGGCAGCGCCTCTGCTTACATGGAAAGCAATCTTGGTTCAAACCCCTCATGGTTTAGATAGCAAGTACCAGCATTCCTGACCATTGGCCAAGCTAGCTGGAGCTGCTGGAGTTTAAGCCCAAAATATCTGGAGAGCATTAAGGCTGGAATATCCCAAATTTGAGAATGCAGTCTGAAGACATCTGTGATGCCACATCTACCACCAAAAGTGTTTTGAAATTACTGCTGTTGTCCCTATTAACTCCTACCTGAATGTCAACTATGTATGGCTTTATGTGACCATGGACCTCTGCTGAGCCTACCCTTGGCCAGAGCAGGTGACTAATGCGATCCTTCCCACCAGGATCCAGTAGAGCAAGAAGGGTCAGGTGGTTCTGAGACCTTCTTTTCTGCTCAGGATGGCTAGCCCTTTACGGTCTACATATTTGGTTTGTGAACAGGCAGGGCGGGGCAGCCTGTCGAGCACATGCCAGTCACTATTAGGTTTCTCCAGGTTTTACTTCTCTCTGGGTGGCTTAAGTGTTTGGTTCAGAACAAACTCCTCTGGTCTGATCTCAACATTGTGCTGTTTTCACAGGTGTCAAATCTCTGCATGTTACAAGCCCAAGGTCCGGGAGCCACGCAGTGGGGGAAAGTCCATTCCCCTTCTCTCTCCCCAAGATTCCTCTGATTTCTGCTCTCTTCTGTGTTTGCCCATCACCACCTTCAGTGGGACACTGCAATAGGGAGGCATGAAAGGATGGACTGAAGTGACTTCCAAGTGCCCTGTGGAGCAAGGCACCTTGTCTGGAAGAGGAAAGCCATGGTGTGTGTTTCTCCGTTCCACCCACTGCACAGCTTAGCTTCAGCAGGATCAATGCAGGACAGTCCTCCCAGACCTAAGAAACAAGACTTGATGCTCCCAGAATGGAAGGGCTTTTCTCATGGGAAAGAATAAGACCAGCACCCCGGCCTGTATTTTCCTCATGAGTGGCTGCTGAGAGTGAGTGATGGCAGATGTAGGCATGAAAGATGGGGAGAGAAATGCGAGGCAGCGGCGAGAAGCCTTGAACTGGCCAGTTTGTGCAAAAGTGCTGAGTTCCAGATGAAATGCTGTTTTCTCCACTACCTTTGAAACAGGGATTTCTGGATATTCTTGATTGGAGTGGTATTTCTCATCTGACACACTCAACCAAATCAGCAGAGGCTGACCTCTTACGATGATCAGAGCCAAAAGGAGATTGGGTGCTGATGGTTTGCTACAATTCACACATTGCTGGGCTTGCTTCATTTTTGCACCCTGACTTCTAAAATTTTATCTTGATGAAATTGCCTGAAGCTCAGGCTTTCAGTTCAGTGTCCTGAGAACTGGAGGTTAGAAAACTGGGAGGAAGGGGCTATCCTGCTCCATTTGACCCACACTCCTGAGTAAGCACCTGCACGCACTGGCTGAAATGGAAGGGCAGATTGGAGCAGCAAATGGTGAAAAGCAAAACATTCTCTGTGGGATGGTATAACTGGGCGCTAAATATTAGAGAGACCCGACTACTTCTACTTCTGAAAGCCTGCAGTGACGCAACACTATTAGCCAAGCTGTGTTGGTTGGCTGGGACTGTCCCTCTGTGGGAGTCTCTGCACCTGTGAGGCCTTCACGTTCCCCTTCACAGGACTGGACGGGTTTGAGTGGTTGCTGACCACCGGCACGTCATTGTCACAGCACAATGTCTAAATTGCACTGTGACAGCAATTGCACTGTGACAGCAATGCTTTGGCATGAATTGCACCAAGGCAACTCTGTCACTTTGCTTTGTGGGTGAAAAATATAACCCCCCCAAATAAGTCTTGCAGACTCTAAATCTCCCCCTTTACCTACTCAAACTGCAGCCTCTGTCAGATGCCCTCAGTCACTAGGGCTTATAGGTAGCCCCTGCCTGACCAGCAGGCCCCACACCTGGAGGAAAAGGTGAGGTCCTATAGTCCCCAAAATTGGGATCATCAGATTAGGGCCTTCCAGAAGTAGTCCAGGCACATGGCCAAGGTCAAGGATGATAGGAACTGTAATTCAAAACATCTGGAAGGCACCAGCTTGCCCTGTCCTGCAGGCCTGGCCATCTCCAAACTTAGCAGATCCATCACTGTTTATAATGCAATTGTGCAATTAATCTGAGGCTGAATATTTATACTTGCTTTTATGCACATTCTAAATTGCAACAGCAGTTCTTGTACAATAGTAATTTAGGTTCAGGAGAACATAGGTTGCTGTGTAGTGTGCCTTGAGAGTTGCACGTTCGAGTGGTGTGTGTAGGACTGTGTCAAGACAATCAAAGTCTGAATTAATGGTTGTTGTAAGTGGCAGCTAGGGAAGCCACAATTCAGAATTGAAAAAGAGCAAACATGACTCCTCTTCTTCTAGTGGACCTATATTGCTTGTTTCCGGAGAAAAACAGCTGTGCCCAGATGAAGTCTGTAGATAGCACCCTTTTACTTGAGCTGAGATTTTAAACTGGAAAATATACTGTTTGATTGTTTTGAGGAAAGGATGCTTGTTTTGAGCAAAGAATGCACATCTGAAGAACTCATTATTTAGGGTGGGAAGGGTGAACCAAAATAGCATTTTGAACTCCCAGTTGGGAATGTGTGTGTGTCCAGGAAATGTGGAAAGAAAAAACCCAGGTATGTGTGTATGAACTCTATAGCAACAGTCATCTTCCATTTTTTCATTCAACTTTTTAACCTACAATGTGATAACTTGTTGAAAACACACATCTGTTTTACTCAGGTAATAGTTTCAGAAGCTTTTCCTTTGCAAAGTCAAAACGTGTCTTGCTTTAGCTTGTTCTCAGGGGGGATCCAGTGCAATGTAGCTTACTGAAACCATCTACCAGTAGTTAAAGTATTAGGAAATTGCTTGGCAAGGAACTGGGGAAAGATGTAATCCCAAAAATTTCCCTAGAATTTGCTTTCAGATACAAACCATGAGATGCACCAAGAGATGATTTAACCACTTTGTATGTCTGTGTGTTGTTAGAATCCCGCTCATTCCTTCCTTGGCTAAAGAAGCCATTTGCTTCTGGTTCAAGTTGGAATCATAATGGTCTTACACTTGTACTCTCAGGATCATCCATGTGCCTTAGACCAGGAGTTTGGCTGCAAGGCAGCAGGAGGCACTGCTCTTGTCAAGAGCTGCCACATTAGGCTGTTGCAGGTGAGAAAAAGGTGTGCACATGGGGTTTCTGTCCCCCAAGCCAACGTTCGGTTGAGATAGGATCGCTTTATGTGTAAAGCTTTTTAACACAAGCAAGAGCCATCTCCTTGAGTTAAGCTGTACATAAATTTGTGCCATGTAAATTTCAATGACCTAATTTTATAGAATATTGTTAAGATGTATTTTGATGGAAATCATAAATTTATTTGTAAAATAAAGCAGCATTTTCCTAAATCATGACTCGGTACATTTGTGTGTGTTATCCCGGTTGTGGCACCCCTCTTAAATAGTTTCATGTGTGGATCTAAAGTTCAGGCTGCTCTTTACTGTACTGAGGGGTCTAGGCAGCCATAAACAGAAACCTGCCGCTTAATCTAGCCATTGGATGGTGCCCTGGAACTATGTACGTGGAATCAATGTAAAGCATCCCTCCCCACAAGCACAAGTGTGCTTTCCAGTTGTTATGGTGTGTACCTGCTTTGTGGATGCAGAATCTCCCCTCCCCTGGACCCTTAAAAATGCTGGGTGAAGGATGCAGCTGGATGGGAGAATGTTTTTGGCCACTAATAAAGAACCAGTCTGGTGTGATAGTGTTGGCCAAGAACTAGTGAGACCCAGGTTCAAATCCCCACTGAACCTCTGGGCTCGCTGGGTGACCTCAGCCAGGACTCATCCTAACCTATCTCAGAGCTTGTTGTAAGGATAAAACTGGGGCTGCCAGAGAGCCAATGATGTTACCTGGAGCTTCTCAGAGGCAATTTAGGATATAAATGTGGTAAGGATGAAACAAAACCAAGGGAATGAAAATTACAAAGTGGAAAAATACATAGGATTTCATCCATTGTTAGTCCCTGCCTAGAGTAGTCCCATTGTAATGAATGGCACTGAAGTTAGACCCACTTTTATGTATCATTTAATAATGGGACTACTGCCTTTTTTTTCCTCTCCCAAGCAACGCAAGGCAGCTTGCTTACCTAATTCTCTTCCTCCTTTCAATCTCATCCACACACAAACAACCCTGTGGGTAGGCTGGGCTGAGAGTCTGTCACTGGCCCAGAGTCACCCCGTGAGCCCCATGGCTGAGTAGGGACTAGAACCCGGATCTCCCGAGTCCCAAGGCCATGTTCTTAACTACTGCATCACAGAGGCTTTCAGGGGAAGAAGCCGCATGGAGCCTGTGCAATAGGACGTAATTTATAACAACCAGCTCCACAGTACAAACACAGGCACTCTTCCTGCAAAACAATGATGAGCTTTACCTTTACCTTTACTGCAGCCGTCTATATTTTTGTTGAGGTGTTCCACTCAGTAAAATAGGATGCTTGGATTAAAAGGCTTCTGGCATAAACCACAGGCTTTTCCATAACTGGACAGTGCTGCCGACTCTGTTATGTGAGTTCGTTTGTATCCTGCAGAGTAGGGTTAAGTACCTTGCCCAAAGGCTCAGGCTGAGTAAGCTTTTCTCAAACCAGTTACCATGTCACATCCTGCCCCGACGGGTCATGCATAATAAATTTCCAAAATACTGAACCTGCCCGCCATTCTCACCTTTGGACTCCAAATGCCTGGCCAAATAAAGCAGCTTAATATGTCTTAGGCCCAGGAAGAACAAAGTTCCCAGGGAAAGATTATAATGTTTAACACATTGGAGGGCATGAAAGAGCTTTATGGTATTCCCACTAATTCTTACAGTGGGGGATTGAGGTCGGAATAAGGCTTGCTCCTGCTAGAGTTGAACCCATGAATTTAGCTCATCCTGGCACATTACCTGGCTCTCGCAGACGTTCCTGTTCTGCATGAAGAGTTAACCAAATAACCCATGTTTTTATTTATTTTTTATTTATTTTTGGATTTATATCCTGCCTTTTTCCTACAAAGGGCTCAAGTCAGCTTACATCATTCTCCTCCATCTTATCCCCACAACAACAACCCTGTGAGGTAGGTTGGGCTGAGAGTCTGTGACTGGCCCAAAGTCACCCAGTTGGCTCCATGGCCGAGCGGGGACTAGAACCCAGGTCGTCTGAGTCCCAGTCCCATGCTCTTAACCACTACACCACACTGGCTCTCAGTGTGTTGGTTTTTATGATTGCCTTGATCTCACTTTTTCTCCTTCAAGGAACTCAAGGGAGCTTTACATGGTGATCATTTTGTCCTCACAACAACCTTGTTAGGTAGGTCAGGCTGAAAATTGGTGACTGACCCAAAGTTGCCCAGTGAGCTTTGTGGGTGAGTAGGGTCTAGATCTCGGATCTCCCAGGTCCCAGGCCAACGCTGTAACCACTATACCACAGTGGCTTTCATAGCATGTTCCCCAGTTTTGTCTAAAGACTGATGCGCTCAAGGAACTATACTAATCCATGAGAGAGAAAAAATCCCAAGCCCATTGTTCAGCTATACTGTAGTCAGGGCAACCCTAAACTCCATCAAAAATTACAAGCTTTTCAGTTCTCCAGAACACTTAATCAGACTAGATGGTCTCTGAGGTTAAAAAAGAAAGTATCCCGGACAGCTTGAACGTTATGCAGGTTGTCTTTAATTTTTATCCACCTGGATAGAATGCAAGTGCTCATTTTGGCCAAACAACTATGGTTATTGCGTGTGATGAAGCCTGTGCGTCATATTTTCCACAGCTGGTACCCATTCTAATGCATGGCCAGCTGGTGGCATCTGAACAGCATTCATTTTCCAATTCCCATTTGTTGGGGTGGAATGGGGGGCATGGCGTATCAGCCCTAAGATTTACCCCATGTCAATTTGTACTTGCTTGCAGAAGGGCAAAAGACACCCAACATTAGTGGGGATGCAGACTGTCATTTTGCACAAATGAGAACCAGGGAGAAGTAAAAAGAATATAGACAACAGGGAGGCAGGGTGCAGAGAGGAAGATACTTCAATAAGGCTTGGGTCCTGGTTACCTGAAGGAGCGCTTACATCCATATATGCCCAGCCGCCCCTTGAGATCAGCGGGAGAGGCCCTTCTCCGGGAACCCTCTGTGAAAGAAATTAGGAGGGTGGCTACTCGGAGGAGGGCTTTCTCTGCGGTGGCGCCTAAGTTATAGAATGCGCTCCCCAGAGAGGTCCGCCTGGCGCTGTCATTATTAGCTTTTCGGCGCCAGGCGAAGACCTTTTTATTTAAGCGGCATTTTAACTGTTAGTATTATTTGATCTTCTCTGGCCAGGGCGGCTTATTTTATATTGTATTTTTTGGATTTTTAATGTTTATATTTATTGTAATTTATATTATAATTACTTTTATTTATTGTTGTAAGCCGCCCCGAGGCTTCGGCGAATGGGGCGGCATAAAAATGTTTTAATAAATAAATAAGTAAGTAAGTAAATAAATAAATAAATGGTAAGGCAGATTTGGAGGTCTTCTCATTAAAGCAATTGAGACATTATTTATGTATTATTGTATTTAAAATATTTCTACCCCATCCTATACGAAAATCGTCCCCGGACGGCTTACAATAATTGGGGGAGAGGGCTGATCCCATCTTGGACTTTCTAGCTGAGGTACCAGCTATCCATGAGCTGCCCCACAGACCATTTCGCAGCTGTCTACAATGTAGTATCTCTGCCAATTTCACTTTGCTGGAATGTTTTTAACCTGTGTGGAAAACTTCTTCAGCTGTAGTAATCTGGCAGCATATTCAGGAAGACCCATGTTTTTCCTGTGGCGGAGCCAACATTGCTAACCCTATTTTTTTCCCTTTAAGGAAATGATTTCAAGTCGCTTGTTTAGATCCTGCCTGCTCTTAGCATTCTTCAAATAAAGGGTGTATTGTTATACTTTGTTTCTGAAAGGCGAAATCCTTGCTTGTTCCACCTGCTTCTGCACACTGGACCTCCCTACAGGGTTCAAATTACCCTGTGTGGAGGACATACTGAATTCCTTATGCTGCACAGATGCGCCATTCCCTCTGGCACATCTAACCTAGAATGCAATGTCATGCATCATCACAGACTTACTTTTTTAAGGAAACAGAAGTCTGGTTAATCATAGACAGGGACTTAGACTGCCAATCTTAAAGGATGCAGTAAGCACCATTAAATACAACAAGATTTTCTTTTGAGGGTTGTGCTGGCACACACAGAGAGCAACCATCTTCATAAGCTAGCAGTTGAAAACAAAAACTCCTGGATCCAAGAAATCCAAGAGCTTTTGAGAGTGAGTCTAACGCCTTCTGACATCTAAAGAAGAACAATATGGTGGGATGGCAGCTACTTCGGATGTGCCTGGGTTGTGGGCTGACGTTCGGAAAGCTAATGCAAATGTAGACCACACCACCGGGCCTCCAAGAGCTGAACCACATGGATGGGTTGAAGTAGGGCTGGCACTGAAAGACGCAGGGAGATCCAGAGCCAGACATTTTTATTCATGGTCTCTGTGCATCACACACATGAGCTCCGTGTGCATGCGTGCAGCTTGTTCAGGAAGATTCCAAAGTCAATTACTGTTTGATAGAAGCCCCACCCCTGGGCACACCCTTGCCTGCAGGGCTCCCACCTCATCCTCAGTTCTTCTTTGACTCCCATTATGGGTGCATTAGGAAGTTGCTTCTCCGCTCCTCCCATGCTTACCTTTCTTCCATGAGTCCTTTCCCGAACTCTCTCTTCCAACCGGGCCTCAAGACAGCCTCCATCTCTGCATATGCGACTGTCATCTCCACCTTCCATGTGGAGTAGGGGTCCTCCACCTCCTCTTGCCCACTCACTCAGCTATTTCTTAGTAGCCTCAAGACCCTTGTCCCACAATCCGACCTCCTACACTGGCTTGGAGCCTGTCTGTAGCCCTCCAAGCCCTCACAAGGAAGCCCTTTGAGCCCATGGCCACCACTGACTTGCATCGGCTGTGGAAGACTGCCTTCCTAATGCCCATCACTTTGGCCCACCACTCCAGCAACACGGTCACCCTCTGGTCCAACAATCCATATGTTGTCTTCCACAAGGACAAGGTGTTACTCTGTCCCAACCCTTCTTTTCTTCCCGAGGTGGTTTCTGCTTTCCGCCTCAGTGAGGACATAGTCCTGCCAGCCTTCTTCCTGGCACCATCGGACCTGAAAGAGACAGCACTCCATTCCCTCAACTTCTGAAGGGTCCCAGCCTTCTAGAAATCTAGACCCAAACCCTTCCAATGCTCACTGTGGGTCTCCATTGGCATTAATTAATTAATTGTATTTGTACGCCGCCCCATAGCCAGAGGCTCTTTGGGTGACTCCCAACGCAACACACAC